GTGTATGTTTTATAGAACAAAAATGTTATTAATCTTAGGCAAGTGATTGCAAAGAATAATTCTCAATGAGGGTACATCTTTCTGTGTTTTCTTTTTGCACTGTACCAAAGATTAAAAAAATCAAGCTATTGCATTATTACAGCTTACAAATCCACAACAGCAGTGAAGTTGATTAGGAACAAATGGGGAAATTGGTAATAAAGCCCTTTTAGAATCCGTAAATATTCTCATAAAACCAGAAACGATGTATTTCCATTTTAAAATTTAATATTTTATCATTGCAGTTACCAAATGTTTGAATACACGTTTGTTCTGTGTTGTATGTCTAAATGGAATCTGTTTGTAGTCTGATCAGAGTGATTTATGAATTGTATTAGGTATAGGTTTCATAAATGGATTTTAAAAAATGACACTGTCTTCATGATGAGGGGAAAGGGGCAAAATTAGTCAGCAACCACCAGACATGACCTCAGAGTTGTGGATCTATTAACCTCCTACTCATTGAAAAATCAGCTTTTATGCAATCAGTTCATCTTGTCAAAACTTGACACTGCACAAGGAAGGAAGAGATAATATATGTTTGTGTTTCATTAAGGATTACAAGGCAAATTTTAGCAAAATGTATTTATTTGACATCAGTTTGTGTCACATAGAATTACATTTAATATTCTAGGTTATATATTGTGTTGCACTGTCTCTCATTTAGGAATGCTTCTTCACATTCATACTTCATGATATAAGATTCACTCTTATCACACTTGAACGCTGATACTATGCAGACCTTTATCCCTTTGAACTTTCCCTTTCTGTAAGTAAGTTCAGACTTACTCATTTCCTAATATACCCTTCATTGTTGAAAGCAGCACCTGAAAGTAATAATTAGTCAGATTAATAGGTTTATGGTAAGTTAGAACTGTCAATTAGTCTTGAGTTTATGACTGCCACCTAGCTTCTTGCTAAGGGGTATAATTAGGATATCACAGAGAAGACATAGACAGGATACAGACTGGACATAGAATATTTCATTTAATTAGTTTAATACCACATGAAGCTACAGGTATTTTCTAAGGCTGCTAATATATGCTTTTATATTTTGGAAATATAAAATACTCAACAGCGGGGTAGCCAAAGCATGTCAATAGATTAATTTCTTTTCATAATAAATATTACTTAAATTCTCAAGAATTTTACATTTTATATTGTTACATATTGGGGGTTGTGATAAAATTAAAAAAAGGAAGTTATTAAATTAATATAAAAATCAGGTTCTGACACCAGCTTGATATGCTAACAAATAATAACAAATATTAATCATTTCACCCAGTAAGGGCAGGGATTACAGCATGTCTTATAGCAGGTCTGTCCTTTATTCACAGGCACAGTTTGTCAATAGAGTAAAAAACATCCCTAGACAACAATAATTTTATAACATTATGCAGGTACGTATATACTGTACACACACAATGCTACACAACATAAACCAGTCATACTAAGAACAACAGTTACACTATTCACTAATATTTATAATTCAGTTTCAGAGCCCTAATGTTTATAAAAGCAAAATGTCCAGCATTTCTATTCATTTAATATTAACACATAAACTACTTTAACAAGAGTTAAGATAGAGAAACGGTGTCCTAATAAACAAAATGGATCGTAACCAAGACTACAGTAAATCTCTTTCTCTATACAGATACTCACACATGAATAGGAACCAATTTCCCCAATCCACATAAAAACAACACTAAAACAGGAGAGATGTTTTAGCATGAAGATCCACAGAGAAGGAAATTAGAATTTCATAAAATAAATAAGATGGCAAACCTTGGTCTATAATAAAGCTCAGAGTCCAGTACTCTTTCAGCATTAATAATACCACAACTGAATCTGGTTTAATTTCAAGGAGGAGCTCTCTCATGGCACAAGCTTTTAATGAAGAGAAGGATGATGGATGATGATGATGTTCTTTTTTCCTGTCCTTGTCCTCCTTATCTTTCTCTTTATCTATTTTACTGTGTGTGTTCCTGTTTTTATGCTATGGTCCATTTCTGTAGATTCCAACTTGACCTCACTAGGAATGGCTCTATCACTGTTGGATCTTTATACTTTGCAATGGCTGTCTTAATGATTTTACAGTTCTTTTGTTTAACCTGAGTAAATTATTGAGACTCCTTTTGGTCATCTGTGGATTCCTTCAAGTGTACTTGCCTCATGGCCCAATAACACCTAAATATAGCTAAACAATGGTAATTGTTCCAGATCATCGAAGTAAGGAAGTCAAGATGGGACAGCACCCATGCTAATCCTACTGTAGGTGAAGCTCAGCTACCTCCCTTGCCCTTTCCATAAAAACATTCATGCAATTCTTAGGTTATGTGTTCTTTGCTTAATGTGTTCTTTGGCTTAATACCATGGTGCTATTTATTTTTAATAAACTTCATGTTCAATATATATTTTTATGATAAATATTTAGATGACATTCATAATCCTGTAGTGTGAATGCAGTGTTAACATTTGAAGAAAAATTAATAACAATGCTGTTTTGGTCAGGGAACAGTCTTCATATTGCATGCAGTATCCATCTACTGGTGAGTATTACTCTACTGCATTGAGTGAGGAGTCTTCATGCAAGGAATTAGACATAAAAACTGATGAAAATATAAAACTAGCCTTTTGTGGTGATGAAATATATTTTTTAACTGAAAATTGTTTCCATTGAACAATGCTTTTCTATTAGTTTCCAAAGCTGTGGCAGCTTTAGAGTATGATAGAAGAGATAGCCACCATCCTTACATCCATGATTACAGGATTTCTGCTCAGGTTAAATTACAGGAGTTCTGCTCAGTTTATCCAGTAAAGTTTGGAAATACTTCATAGATTGTTGAAAAAGCAGATTTCAAACTTGAAAAAAAATGTAATCATAAATAAATTAGGCAAAATAAAAGATAAAAACAACTTTGTTAATTCTATCCCATAGCTACATATACTGTAATAGACAATCTAAATCTATAGTAAATAATACAGAAGTACAGAACTGTTATCAATGTATTATTTCTATCAGCAATCCAAGAGCCCAGATATACAGTATACCCCCAGCTCAGTAGCTGTCCATGGTCTCCAGTTTTCTATGTGACAAATATCTTGTCCTGTGTTTTATTTGTATAAGAGTTTTCTGTTTAATCACACACATTTCTCCAAAAGCTCTTAATCTTTTAGGTTCAGCGAGGGGGCATGAAGGAACAAGCAATGCAATATAAAAAGATGGATCAGGCCATATATCACACAGATTCTCCTTATTGAATTATTACTTCTTTGTTTGTGTAGATGGATTCTTGTAGATAAGAACTTTGTCATCTTTCAAACGGGATGTCCCAAAGAACTCTTTAATATTTTCAGACTTATGTTTTCATTCTTATTGATCTACAGTATATTCACTTTGAGGGCAAGAAGAAACATCTAGGTGTAAAGATTTATAAGACAACTAATAAAGATACCCTTTACTTGGGGAAATGTAAGCCAAGGCAGTAGCTGAAGATGAAAAGGTGTGAAAAAGGCTTTGGTGGACTGTTTGGTATTAGTTTATGTAGCTCTGGGCATTGCTAATTTTAACTAAATAGGCTTGATAGAAACAGGTAAAGGTTAATTCCACGCTGAAAGGAAAAGAAAAGAGACACAACGTTTTGGCTGTGGAGCCTTCTTCAGGTGTGAGAGGAAGAGGGAAATTGGCAGTTAAGGAAGCATGGGAGAACAAAAGACAGGGCAGTTGAGAAGTGGAAGTTGGCACGGGATAAGAACTAAACACTCTGGCAACAACTGGAAGAGAAGTGTTAAGGCTTAAGAGGTGTTATAGATACAGTAGGTGTGGGGATACATGGAGACTCTAAAACTAATTCCTCAGATTGCTAATTATTATACAGGAGTAAAAATTACAATTCCAAAGTGATTCGCATTTTAAATTCGGACAAGGAGCATGTTCATTTCATTTAAGATGAAAATGTTATAGGGTATTTTGTGAGCTTTATGATACCTGTTCAGAATTTAATGTTTGGAATATCTCAAATTTGTTGTCTGAGATAAATTGATTATCAGAAATCACATTAAAAACAATATTAAGGTGTGAATACACGTCTGGCAATGCTATTATTTTGGGAAAAATCTGTGACACTGTATGTGTTTGGAAGACAGGTGGCTGTCATATACAGTACGGTACATTTTGAGAATAAATCTGAATTTAAAAATAGAAAGATGTTTCAATATCAATCTGATACTGTAAGTTTGCAAAAGGTGTAATTAATGTTCGAATACAGACTTAATCACTTACCCTGTGTACATATAAACAAAAATGGTTTAGCAACCTGAAAGCCACAAAGCTATAAAAAGAACAGCTTGGGCCTATATGGGAATTTCCATGGTTGCAATGAAGGTTGTGGAAAAAGCAAAGTCATTTTTGGTTTATTAGTAAATTTAGATTAGATGAAGTGATTACTAAAACACATATCTCTCATTAGGTGTGACTAAGATCTTGGCTCATGCTCTCTGTCATAATGAATGAGCTTCAATCTACTGTAATTTTATTATAATTGATTTATTTTGGCAGACACTTTCAAAAACCAAACCAACATACATTTGTACCCAGACATGTGGGCACTATGGCAATTTACTTGAGTGAGGAACTTTGCTCAAGGATACAACAGAAGTGCCCCACCTAGGATTTAACCCATAACCTTTCAATTATAAGTCTGCTGCATTTATCCAAATGCTGACACAAGATATTTCATCTGATATGAAGCTCCTTAACCTAATCAAGCAAACTGATTACATGATTTCAATTCTAATGGATTACCTGTTAATCATATTATGTTTTATCATATTAAGTTATGACTTTGAAAATGTAGGTTCTGATTTTTACTAGCTTATTGTTATTTGTCTTAATCATCATTGTAGTTTCCTTCTTACAAAATTAGAAGCACCTTTTGATGCATTTGTCCTTACTTGTACAGACTGATGGAGCTACTGACTGGGAGGTCTTCAAGATTGGGGACAGAATCTTTCTTGCTGTGGCCAACAGTCAGAAATATGATGAGGCTGGACCTGGTTCTTATGCCATCAACTCGACCATCTATGAGCTCAACATGACTGCACAGCTTTTCGTCAAATTTCAGGACATTACAACCTACAGGTAAGCTATTGTGGACTTTCTTCTTCAATACAAGTGCAAAATTGAAAGGGCTTTCTTGAGTGGTAAATAAAAGACATATTATTTCAATGCACACAGACAAGCTTTTGGGTACATTAAAAAGAAACTTCCACCGTGCATACAGCATTGACTTTGTAAATCTAATTTTGGCTTCCCAACAACTTAGAAATCCACTATTTCCAAAATTCTAAAAAATTATTTTGAAGAATTGGTTCTTGTTCTAGACAACTTCCAAGCAATGATTTGCTTAATTTTCAATAAAATCCCAGATATTTGTATAAACATATTAAACAAACAAAACAAAAACTTAAGGCACATATTCAGCCACAACCACAACATGTCACTTTCAGATAAGTTCATGATTTATTACAAAAACAAACAAAATTACCCTGGACTGACTAGAATAATAATTAATAAGACAGAGTACTGTATATGATGAGACACAAAATGAACTGCACTGACAGTGACTTGCCATGACTTACTTGTTGTGTAGTTGCTGTCAAAAAAATTAATAGTAAATCACATTAAATATGTTAACTATGCAGACTTTGTTTTATTATAAATTCAATGGTAATTTATGTTTAGATCCTGTGGTTTTGTGAACTCAGTAACCTTTAAAGTGGAGATAGAGGAGGAACAAAGACATTTGCATTATCTTTTGCAATTATACAGTCATTATACTACAAAACAAAGGAAAACAACATATTTCAGTATCAGTAATTAAAACAATTCTGAAATTTTCTTTTCATTAAATTATAAATGACATGAGTCTCAAAATGATTTTTGTCTTTCAATAAAGTGCTTAAACAACATGGTAGAAACCTAAAAACAAAGCAAAATTCTGACATTTCTAAATGTTAAACTTAATGTGAATAATTAGTAACATAGCTGGTAACATTACTGTACAGGTAAGCTGGGAAGTTTGCTGGACAGCATTTTGTCTGGCAGTGACTACATACAAAAGATGAATCTATAAATTCAATGCAGTCCGTCTCCAATATTAATAACAGTCTCATAACTGTTAAGAGAAAGTGTGACCAATTATTCCTTCCAGACTGTTTTTCTATAAATGTTCAGCTTGAACTCACGCAGTTAAGGATGGATAAATAGATGAACACACAAGAATTCAAGATTTATTACTGACAGTTAAGATGCTGTAGTGGCTCATTTCACCTCATAAATGCTCTTATCATTTGGGAATATTCTATTAGTCTATCTCAGTTATAAGGTAGTGCTCAATCAAATCATGCCCAATTCACCCTGAATGTGCGATTTTTTTACATGACTGAGAAAACTGCTGTTTCCAGCCCTGGTACAAATGTGAAAATAATAGCTTTCAAGTCCATTTATAATGATTTTAAAAAGTATTTACAAAATACATTCAGAAAACAGAAATTAAAAAGAAAATGTAAAATTAAAAATAATGACAAAAATAATTTTAAATACAATGCACTACTCTGTTCCTTTACCCTCCTTTCTTTTTCTTTGTACAAAACTTTGTAGATTTTCATAGGAGTCCATATCTTGAGGAAAAAACTGTAGTACATGATTATTTCCTACAGCATTAAATAGCTATTACTAAGATGCCTCATCAACTTTAGTGAGAAAAAATAAAGCAGCATATTCTACCTTTTTAAAACTGTACAAAATGAAGATTATATAATACTAAAAAAGAAGAAAGGCCTCAGTGAATTCCTAACCTAAGGCAATTTTTCATTTACACTAGAAGCTTTTTACGGTTGCTGAAAACAAAACTGAAATGTAAAAATGATTGAAAGTGATATTTGTAATGCTGAAGGCTCTGTAATAGGTAACATTAATAGAGCAATTGGAAATTCTGTGATATGTTATCTTGTTACATATCTACTTAAATAAGAATGAGCTGTTAATGAATGGAACAACAGGAAACCATCTATAACAGTTTATTTTTTCTTTTGGATTAGTGCTGTTGATTGGGAATTCTTTACACTAGGAGAAGACAAGTTCCTGGTTGTAGCAAATTCATTTGATGGGACATCCTTCTCTGTAAACAGTGTTATATACAGGTAAGGAGTATAGCTATGTTACAAATTATTCATAATTTAAGAACTTGAAACCTAGTAATTGCATACTTTAATGGAATGGTACACTTACTGTACACATCCAAAGTTGTAATATTTTGTAACTGTATTTAAATGATATTTTACATGTTCATTAGATACATTTTTCATCTATTTATTGTCAAAGTAAATCACTTTTAAGAAAATTGTAAGACAAAAAATAATCTAGTTCATATGAAGACATACAAAATGTCTTAGAAAAGAACAATTTAGTTACTGGGATGTTATATTTAAGTGTCTCTTCAAAGTGTTTGTAGGCACATTACTCAGGAATTGAAAGGGGTCTACAACCTGTCTCAGCCTGTAAAGGGAAAATAAATCTTTTTAAAAAGGCATTCAGCCTGCCTCAGTTACCACCTGTCTGAAAGTACCAGCACAGAAAGTACATCAGTAAAAAAACAAAAACATTTCTCTATGTGTACCACCAGGGATTTTCTTTCTACAAAAATAATTTGTCTAAACATTTAGTGGAATTTACTTAAGCTTGTTTGGTCATTTCATAATTATTATTAACAATTCTTAACAAAATAGCCAAACTCTATATTTGCAACAACAACAACAAAAAAAAACACAACTACAACATATGTAACCTTTTAATCACAATCTTGATCGGATTTGGCATTGTAATGTAATTTTAAAGCAGAAAGACTGCTGTACTTCACATACAGGAAATATACACCAAGCTGTGGGTATGACAAATTGACAAATGTGTCACTGTAACCCAACCTGCTGTCTGACAACTCTTAGAATAAGTATCTTGAAGGCGTTACAGTTCCTTGCAAAAGTATTCACATCCTGTCAATGTCACATTTAGGCAAACACGTGTTTTTTTACATTTTATTTTTTTATTTAAAACTATAGGGATCAAATTAAACATTGTTAAATGTGAAGGAGGTTGAATAAAGTAAAATCTGCAAAGAAAATATGCAAAAAAGAAACGTATTGATTTATTTAACCCCCTTACATTAGTACTTGATGGAAACAACTTTGGCTGCAATTACTTCTATCAGTATATTCAGTTCAGCTTATTTTCATATGCAGAAGTGCAATGAAATGTGTATTTGCATGTATGCTCCAATACAAAGAATACAAAGAGATTTAAGAAACACCAAAAACAAACACAGAACAGCAGCAGCAACAACAACAAGTTAAATAATGTACATCTTAGAAACAAAAAGGATATGATAGGATATATAGGATGTATAGGATAGCACATTGATACTGGATATGTTTCTACCAGCTCTACCAAAATTGCTCCAGTTTTGACAAGTCTGTTGAACATACAGTAGTTGGAGGACTGCAGTTATGAAGCCTGTCACGCCCTCTGCAGCTAGAGGGCGCTCCTACTTTGTCCTGTTCCTAGATCCCTGTGCTTTGGTTTTCCTTCTAGTGTGTCTTTGTGTGGGGCTATACAGTATATTTCCAGGTCACCCTTTCTTCCTCGGTCTGCATTGAGGGATTGGATGTCTTGAGACCTGCCTAGCTCCAGGTCGTCTCCTTCGCGGCCTGAGGGCATAGGTTTCTACCCGACATCGTCTGACCACCTGAGCCCAGGCTACCCATAGGGTCTTTATTGCTCTAATTAAATTAAGGACTTTTACTGGGCCACTAAAGAACATTCATTGAGCAATTCAGTGTAGCTTCAGTCTTGTGCTTTGGTTCATAGTCCTTTCGAACTGTGGAAGTTCTAAATTGAAAAGTTTTTACCCAATTTAAGATTATTGTGTCACGGAAGCCTGATGTTCACTAGGATTTGCTTGTATTTTGCACCATATATATTTTTTATCATTCCTGACAAGATTTTGAGTCCCTGCTGATGAGAAAAATCCCCATAAAATGCTGCTGCCACCATACTTAACAACTGGGGTTATGTGTAACACTTTGTGTTTACATCAAAAACTCTGACTGTAAAACCTTTGTCACATGTCTGCATTGGCAGAAGGGTTTATCAAATAATGAAATTTTAGATGAGTCTATCCATTTCCTAACCGTTTAATTCAGGGTTGCGTGCGAGCTGGAGCTTATTCTGGCAAGCAAAGGGCACAGGTGGGATACACTCTGGATTGAACGCTAGTCCATCAATGGCACAAAAACAAATACAAATAGACACAACCACAAACATGCACCAGGCAGCAGTGTTAACCACTGTGCCACTGTGTTGTACAAAAGATGAGTCCTTTGCAGTAAAACCCTTTTTCTTGCCACTCATCCATACAGAGATTTGTGTAAGAATCAGGGAATGGCAAGGGAGCTGGTCCTCACTCCCGAGTAGTGCGTATTTTGGACCCTAAAATGACGATATAATCCGGAAATGACTGGAATAAGACTTCAAGGGAAACACAGCAGGAGCAGGATGGGATGACAGACAGGGGGGCGTGACGGCTGTGATCTGGTGCTCGGGGGTGGCGTGGTGCAGGGGAACAAGTCCTAAGATAGTCGAAAGGGGAAACCGGGGTGCAGTCCAGGGTCCAGGAGCTGGGAGATCGAATCCGAGACAGACAAGATTAAAACCAGAACGGGATCTGGAACAGGCACAGGGACAGGGAACCAGGAGGATAAAAACAGTAACGGGGCCAGGTGCCCCGTGCTCCAGACCGAAACCTATGCTTTCAGGTGACTCCAGGACTTGCTGGCAAGTGGGCTTCCGGGCGTCCATCTTCCAATGCAGAGCCAGGAAAAGCGAGAGCACCAGGCTTATATAATGGGACACAAAACAAGTGGCAGGTGCACATAATTAACACAAATAGGAAAGGGTCGGAGTGCCCTTAAGAGGAGGAATGACAATCGGGACAGGGTAAAGATATACATAAAATGATTTCCATCTCAGACAAAGAACTTTGCAAATCTTTCAAATTCTTTGTTGGCTTGCCAGTTTCAGTTTTTTTTTGTTTGCTCAGCTGTTCAATTTGGGAGGGAGGCCTGATCTAGGTAGTGTCAGGGTGGTGGGTGCATATTCCACTTCGTAATAATGAACTTCACTGTATTCAAAAGAATAAGTAACCTCTTGATCTGTACCTCTCTATCACTTTATCCCTGATTTGTCTTGAAAGCTTCTAGGTTTTCATGGTTGATTTGTCATGTCACTTTGTGAGCTGTTGCATGAAATTTTATATCAGTGTGCACAAATTTATAGAGGTACCTTTAGTCTGATGTGTGATTACACACTTTCAGAGAGTATTACAGTAATGTTGCGTGTTCATGTAATTTATTTACATACTTCCAGCTGTTTTTAGCTGTGTTAGTTGTGTGGATTCTCAATATTCTCAATATGAAGTCCTATTTTTAAAATTTGTTTCTTGATTACAAGCTCAGACATCAACAAAATGTACTTTGCAGGGGAGGGAATAGTTTTGCAATGCACTAATTATACTAGTTATATGAGTAGCTTTCCCTTTATGTGGGGAAACATGGATATTAACAAATTCTAGTGAGATTTCCTACTGCATCCTCAGTCATCAATATATTTATATTTTCCATACAAGGGCACTAAGGCTCTTTTGTGTGGCATGTTTATAAATGCTAATGTTCAAGTTACATACTCTATTCTATACAGCATACTGTATAACGTGTACATATTATACGTCTATTTCTTATATCGTAAATACAATGTGACCTATATCTACTGCACAACTGTGTGCTTATTATCTAGGAGTCACTGCTACAGTGAATTTCATGGGTTACATATTTGGCTCTTTAAATGATACTTTATGGCTCCAATTAATGTATTAAATTGTATTAATGGCCTGCTGTATCCCTGACAGGTGGCAAGGCTATGAGGGGTTTGTTCCAGTACACAGACTTCCAACCTTTGGATGCAAAGACTGGGAATACTTCAGTTCCACAGAAGGCTCCTATCTCATATATTCCAGTGCTAAAGAGCCTCGCTCAAAGGTCCTCAAGCTGAAAACGTACTAAACTACACAAGATGTTTATTCAGTACAAGGCCAGAAGTATGAATTACTTAAACACAACACTGTGGATGTAAGAGCCATTACATTCCATAGGAGCCTACTTTGCTCATTAATCTTATGCCTGCCTCCAACAGCCTAGAAAATGGATGAAACAATATAAGAAATATGATCGGCTGAAAATGAACAACTTTTCTTAACATATTGAGTAAGTGATGAAGTGTACTGTACATGTACAGATAGAAGAAACTTAATTACTAACTTGCAAATAAAAGTCAATATTATTGTATATTTGGGTTAAAATGCTACTACTATAAACTCAGGGATGAGAGCAGAGGGAAAGTTCAGATGGGCTAGCTGAAGGGACTGTGACTACAATGAAAATGTTCTGCAAAGCTACAGTTGATATATTCTGAGTTATCAGTCACAGTAAAAGTTTCAGAATTATCTTTTAAGTACATGTAATAACTAAAAATTAATATAGTTTTATTAATATGAACTTTAAGACTAATTCCAGAGAATGACACGATTTTCAGAGTTGAGACTTGACATACTTTGTAATATGAACAAGTAATAGGTTTATTCCATGCTGAAAAAAAGAAGAAAGAAAACACAATGTTTCGGCCATGGAGCCTTCTTCCGGTGTGAGAAGAACCTCAAATCTGGAGGCAGCTCTACAGCTGAAACGTTGTGTTTTCTTTCTTCTTTTTTTCAGCATGGAATAAACCTATTACTTGTTCCTTTGCAGCCTACGCATGCTGACGCAGCTACCCGCCTGAAATACTTTGTAATATGTTTATCCGGTGACTTAATGCACTGCAATAATATGGCAGCTAGTGAATCTACAGTATAATGCAGACAAAGGGAACACTGATAGTACAAAACTTAACAGAAAATCAACCAATTACATTAAAGCATTATTCCAAACACTTAAGCTGTGTTTTACAAGGTTGCTACTCCAAAGAAGTTTTATAATTGTGAGTCTGACTTACTAATCTTATTTATGAGTGGATTTACAACTGAGTTGTAAATAGTCATGGAATGTGTAAATAAACAGATAATGTCAAATTAGAGTGAGAAAATGAAGAGAATTTTAAGATTTTAAAAACTTTTCTGGAATGGTTCTATCATTTGTTTTTCTTTTTTTGCCAGAAATCTAGCTTCAATCACAAAGGGGGACTGAAACTTCCATGAAGAATTTTAAAATTATTTAGGAGCATTCCACAGAACTGAGACAATCAATACTGTATGTATTAGATTTGAAACTCAATTGCTAGACCAAAGACTAAACTTACCCAAACAAATACTACCGTCTTAGCCGTGTTGTCATTTCTATTATATTAAATGATATGCACTGTTTACTCCCCCCAGAAAAAATAAATAATTCAAAAGCCTGTGGCTGATATAAAAAAGAAGGTATAATATAAGATTGCAGAGAATATTTTTACTTTGGTGCTATAGGCCGTCTCGTACATTTTCAATGTCTTTGCAGGCTGTTGTTTTGAACACTTGAAATGTTGGTGCTATATCTGTTTGAAGACATTCATTAATGTAGCAACAAAAATTACATAAAATCTTTGTATTTCTCTTTAACAAAGAAATGTCTCTATTGAAATGCTTCTGATGGAGTTTATGAAATGTATTAATTTCTATTGTTTTTTATATTGTTATCCTGTGTTGAATCATGTTCCTACAGTACCATCCTTTACTCCATTTACCCTTGCCTTGCAATTTTAAAACAAGGTTTACTGTTACATTTTTCCGGAAGAAGATGCTAGATGTTTAGAAACCAACCTTCAATAAGCTCAATGGGATATGTAGCTTCAGAACTACTGTAAGAGCTTTATTCTTCTTGTGTGTAAGCTCTGACTTCTCTCTTGCTCAGTATGTTTCTAGGGTATTTGGAGAAGGAGAGTTGTAATTGTTCTCTAGGCCAAACTAGGCTGACATTTATATGATTTCTGTCAGCCTTTTTGGGAACAAGAAGCTGGAGATCTAAATAACATAAATCATAGATGTGTTTTTTTTTTTTGTTCTTGTAAGCTAGTCTGAAATTTGTAAACCCTTTAAGACCTTTACAGTCTGTTCTGTAAAATAATATTAAATAATTTCTGAAGCTGAAGACTGTACTTAAACTATATTGTAGTTTTCTTCTAACATGCTTTAAAAAAAACAAACAAACACTGAAGTATATTTAAGATTATAACTATATGCAGCATTTATTTAGAGGTATATGTTTTTTTTCCACAATTGATAATTGAAATTACCTACTCTCACAGTTCCTCATTATAGAATATATAAGCCATCTGTTTTGAAGTGGCAATTTACAACAGTTCAAATACAATTGTATAGTAATTATTTTAGGAACTATTAAAAGGATAATAATTGAGATCACATAGGAAAGCATACAATATAAAAATATTTATATTTATTTAGATCCAATATGTACAGGTTGTAATATGTTTTAAAACAATTTCTTAACCATGTCTGTATACAATATAATTTTAATATAAATTGGCTCATAAAGTTCATATGTGTGTTCGGTTTGTGTTAATGCTACTAAAAAGTATATTAAAATGGATATAATGAACTGATGATCACAACCTTATACTTCACATTAGAACATTTTTATTAAGCTTTTGTTTTAGTACCAAAGGATACCAGGTTTGTAAATACAATACAGATTGGAACTGTACATAAGCTTCACTCTGTGCATATGTTTTCATACTGAAACACTTTAGAAATTCAGTCTTCATTTTTAATTTTGATAAGATAGATAATTCATTAGTTTTTTACATATTATTTGCCCTTATCCAGAGCAATTTACAGCACAGGTTGTGATATGTGGAGAATTCAAGGGTTGTGCACAAATATTGACCTCCTGCAAATGAAGTAAACAAAAATGTTTCAGTGTATATATACTACCAACATAACAACTCACTTAATAACAGATGTCACATATACTAAGATATGACTGAGAGACATTACAAATGCAGTAATGTTTACTGAACCTAATATCATTGTTTGCTTTTTCAAATTTTTCAATATATAATATAATCTTTTAATATATAATAAAATATAAGCTTTCACCACCTTTCACCAGTGCTGCTGCTACTGTCTTAACCTGCTGTGTTTGTATACTGTTTCACAAATCTATTAGCTATGTTTGTTGTTTTCTGAAAAACACAAATGTGAAAAACATTTTTCACAAAATTCACAAATTGAAGCCTATGATAATCATTTTGTTAGAACTGATATTATCAAAGATAATGTGGTGAACACACAATGCAGAACCTGTGTTTAATCTTGTTTACAGTATGTCTCTCTCTCAGTTAATAAATATTCTTCATGTATTACTTTATTCAGCTGGATTTCGAAACTTGTGATTTATTGTAAAGTGTGGAACTATTTTATCCTGTGTATGATTAAATCCCTAAGCTTATTTTTCTAAAAAAACATGGGTGAATTTCATATTAATTTATCTTAATAAATGTTATCTTTAAAACTGTATTGTACTGTTTTTTCTGTAAGTTAAGAGAAGTTAATAATTTATAAGCAAAACATACTTTGAAAAAATATTTTACACAAATTTAAAAAGAATACTTAAAAAGCCAGATAAAAAAACTGGACATAAAATAAAATGTATTTTTTGTGCAATTTATCAAAGATGTAGGAACTGACCATAATGTCAGTTCATGCTCTGTTGTATAGTGTCATTGTCACCTATTTAATCAAGAAAAATACCTCTGAAATGTGTGATCAGCTTCATTGTAGTACACTAAGGAAAATATATTTTTTCAATACATTATAAAAAGAAATTTAAAATGAAACATGCTTCTCCAAACACAAAACGTACAGTATCAAAGCAAGTTACTGTATTTAATTAGTGCTGAGATATAAAAAGTCAGATCTTATGAAACATACAGTACAAATGTTTTTGTAATGAGAAATGCTTAATAATATGATACAGTACTGTATATAGACAAAATAGCAATATCAAAATTTTCTTTATGTAAAAGTAATCAGATACTTATTGACTTCTCCAGAAACCCTGTTAAAAGGGATGTAGTTGCTGTTAAGTTTTTCTCAGAGCATGATAATATTTCACACTCACAACACTCTTTTGAGTATTTTATACTTACGTTCACTTCACTTGCTTATTTGGAGATTTGTATTGAGAAAACTACACTTTGAGCACATTTGCACACACATTCCAACTAACAATGACAGTGCACACCAAATGTTAATAACAGCGTTGTCCAACAGATCTTTGCACCCTAGGAATGCACTGTATGCCCCCTGGTGGACATCTCTACAGCTATTGTAAACAAGACAATGTACAGTAGGAGAAATGAAGAAATTTATTGTTTTAGGTTTTCTGACCTTATTTAGTCTCAGATAATTACAGGAACATATGCACTGTGTTGCAGACCAACATGCATTTCTTATGGAGAAAAAAAATATTTGTGTCTAAAATCTGCAGACTGAGGAAATGAGACTGGTAATTCATTACTAAAAATGGCCAAGAGAGGGAGACCAAATTTCTCTAACACAAAAGAAGCACTGCCAGGAAAAAACAGCAAGATGAACATCTTTCACTCAAATCAATGAATAGATTAAGGTCATATTCCTTCTTAGAGCAACAGGGCTATAAAATCACTTTGGTTACAAAACATCTGTTCCCTCTCTCTGCTTTTTGAAATGTAAAAATACAAATAATTAGTGTGGATCATCATTTTTAAGACCATTGCCAACCCAAGTACTGCTATTTATCAGTATAAGTGCATCAT